CTTATTTAATAGGCAGAGAGGAGGAAAAGAACCAATCCCCCAGCCACCCTAGCCAACGAATCAAAAAGAAGAAATGAAACGACATCATAAAGAGGAGAGCGTTCAGCCTCGAGGAAGAGAAGCGTCGGCCAGGTGGAAACCCTCGATTGGAGACTCGCTCGGTCAAGCAGAGATCGAAGAGGCTGCGAACCGACAATGGAATGCCGCGTGTGAGGAGGCGAGTCGTCTCATGCGCGAATGGCAGAGGAGACGCGAGAGCTAGGGCACGAGGAGGAGCGGTCGTGGGAGCTAGGGCACGAGCGACGAGCCAGGTTTCAATCGAGAGTCTGGAGTGTTTTAATCGGGTTTATGCGAGCCAGTGAAAACCTAAATAAGGTTAGATTAAATATGATTTAAGAAAATATTTAAGATTTTGAAAAAATAAAATTTTAATTTGTGTTTCACCCATGCATCAAAATACAGCAAAATTGTTATCATTTTCAGGTAATTTTGAAGTTCCGGACGCATTGGTGAGGTTCGATACCCATTCAGGTAACGTTTTGACGAATTCATCGATTTGCGTGCCAATTTTCTCGTGTCGAAAATATGGCAATATGGGTGTCCTTTCCTACCAAAATGGGTATCCCGGATGCGTTGGCGTGGTCCAATTTGTCGTCGGTCGGAGGTCATCCGAAGAAGTTCGCATTTTCACCCGTCCCTTGGGCTTAATTGAAGTTTGATTTCGCGCAATTTCGTGAACTTCGTGTATTTGATGTGTGTATGTGACGAAAAAGGTCGTGACGATGTTTTCCTAAGTCTTCCTAAGGCTTGAAGTCCTATTTACTTATTTGGACCATATCCCTTGCACCTCCGCAAAATAGCCCATAACCGCTCGCTCATAAGACGATGGTCTTGTGCCAAAGATGCTAGACATCAAAGGAAAATAGGATTTGGCTAGAATTTTCTAAAAGGGTGAGTCTCAATTCTAGTTTTTTAAGACGGTCAATAAGAACTCCTAGAACTAGATCCTAGACTCTAAGGAGGAGAAGAGAAGACTTCACAAAAATGAGGTCAACAAATGAACCCCCAATAGGTGTGGTGTGCGGTGTGCGGAACAGACGCGTATTGGTGTTGACCGAAGCGACCAACAAACCAAAGAATTGTTTAAGAAGATCGATCGAATGTCGAACTTGATATGAAGAACTTGATATGATGAAATTGAATTTGAGTTGGATTCTCAATCGAGAACCCAAAGCTCGAGAAAGATTTTGCAATTGATAGAGTTGAGGATTGACATATATATATATTTCAAATTGTAGTCGTGTACTTGAGTTTTCAAATGAATTTTAAAGAGAAGACCTCACAAAAATGAGGTCAACAGTACTATGCCCATGTCCTTTTTCCTCCATCACATCAAGTTTTGGCCATGGGATTTAATAGGACCTGCAACAATCACCTTGTTGACTATTTGAGAAATGATACGAATGCTAAATGGAGAGAGGTTTCAAGCGGTTCAAAATTATCAAATTTGCAAGATTGCAATGAGGCCGCTGCTTAAGGCCTCTGTCGAATGTCGGCCTTACACAATCATGGATAGCGCTAAAAGTTTTCCTTAAGCATGGATTAAAAATAAATGGAAGGTGGGACTTCGGTCTCATCAAATATTGGATGAAAGCAGAGGATTATTTTTCATCTCAATCATATAAAAGATAGATCGGACATTAGGTATTTGTACAATGGCCGTACTCTTGAGTTGGGCAACCATTGACTTATTTTCACGAGTTGGCAAGGCCAATGAAACAAGATTAATGAAATTAAATTAACTTTCTCAATTCATTTATATTCTCTATGCTTCCACCGATTAGAAACATACAGATCTCCATCACGAAAGAATTGATGATCCAATCCAAATTAGGTTCGCCAAGTTTTTGGATGGTGCTGGGTAGGCATTTTTGTAGGCAGTGCATTGGGGTGGTGGGTGCTGCTGCCTCTAATGTCTACATGCACTGCGGCAGCAAGTGCAGCTGCTATGCTGTGCTCGTGCAAGGCTGAAGCCAAATGCGAAAGCTGGTGAAGCCTATACATTCACTGCCAAACCCTCTTCTGTTATAAACTAACTCGTTGGATCATTTACAGTTCCTAGAGCGAAACCTTCAATGTAACCCCAGTTAACTTTGCCGTTTAAGAAGAATAACCAAAATTTATTTTATAGTTTAACACATCAATTTCTTAAGCTTGTTGGAATAGACAATCAGAGCTTTGTTTTCCTGATTCTGGCTAGTACTTCTCTCCAGGCCCTGCATTGGTCAACAGAGCAAGTTCTTGAACTTGTTGGAAGCGATAATCTGAATTCTTTTTTTTTGGTTCTACTGGCAGTACTCCTCCCTAGACTCCATATTGATGGGAGTTTTTTGCACCATGTTCTATCCTCTTACTTCACCTCCTCCTTGCTCTCTTACACCAGATTGACTCCATGTAAGTTTTGAAAGTTGTATTAATTTACTTTAATGTGCGAATGGGAACTATTTCCATCCTTATTCTAATATTCTTGATTTAGAAGGGTTTTTTTCTGCTTATTTTTCTATCCAATCTGGTTATTTACTCCTAGAATTTATCAAGTTCCATTTCCTTCATGTTGAGTATATACCATATTTGGGGCTATTTTTCTAAGATAACTTTTCTTATCCCAGAGCAAAGCAAAATGTCATTGTCTATGCTTGTGACTGCAGTCAAGACGCTCTCGATAAAGCAGGAGAAATGGTTGCTAGTTCCAATTTTCCTTCAATCAAGCGTCAATTTTATCCATTTCTTCTTGATTTTTCAGTTAATAGATTTCCAGATTGGTTGTTATGCACTGCTTGTCAAAAGAGTTCACTTGAAAAACAATCCCTCTTCACGCCAGGTGGTTCTTTTTTACTTTTTGGTCCCTTGTTTTGTATCTTAATCTTTTGTTTTCGTTGATTATCAAGATCTGCAATCTCTTTTGTTTGTTATTTAGATGCTAGTGGGAAAGCATTTATTAGATTAAATGGGCCATCCTTCCTTGAAGCTAAATGCTGCATCGGCGGAATGGACTATGTAACCCTGGTGAGTATTATTTTTGTCAATTTTACAAAATATATTTCAAGGCTATCATGTCATAATTGTAAGTTTGATGAAAAACTATAATGTTTTATCTTTTTGAATTGTGTTTGACGTGACATAGCATATTCTTTATACTGTTAGCTTCAAAATCTTACAATGTGAAGTTCAGATTCGTTGGAGGTTTTCTTGTCCTGAAATATAGTGGTCTGTCTTGCTTGTGCATTTGGAGTTGAGGGTAGGTCCTTCGTTATTTTAAGTCCATGTTGAGCAATCAACAACAATTCCTTATTTGCTCTTTCAGAAATGAGTACAATGAAGTATTTCTTAAAATATTGTTCCGAAGAAGCATCTTGATTTTGATGATAAAAATGGAAAGTGATGTTAATTGACTATGAAAGCTTCATAGGGATAATAGGTTGGGTTTTACTAATTTTTGGGCTACATTTTTGTAAGCAATTGTTTGTGTGTTTGATGAAAAGTAGCTGGCATGATATTTCACATCTTGAGACTAACTAAAAATAATATAAAATCATTGCGCTTAACTTGGGAATTCAAAACAATGAGCGCTTACGTTATATAAAGTAATTAGTTATGTAATATGTAAAATCATGAGTTTTTGAGTTACAATTTGAGACCAACAAATTAGAGAAAAACCAAATATTACACCCAAATGCTTACATAATATGAACTATTTAGTTTGTAGATGCCTTGATTTTTATTTTGGAAACTCTTTTTTATCTTCTTAGCTAAGTATTCTTTGTTTTATTTTCCTCTTTTCCTGCAGTAGTGGTAGGTTTGCAGATGATTAGGCAGCTTGTTATATATTTCCTTTAATATAGCTTATTCTGACAATTTGCAGAGCATGATATGATGAATATTACGTTCCAAATTTACCACTTTATTACTCTCAAAAAGTAAGTAAATCATTTTGTTTTAGATGCACGAGTGATGTGGTCATACTGCTTTTGACCAACACTAGAACATGTACATGTCATGTACCATAATCATATAAGTAGAAAGTGAACATTTATTTATCTGTAACTGTATTTTTGTTTGGCCTTGACTTCTCGTAATTTATGGCTCAAATTGTTCCCAAATAAACTGTCTAACTCCGTTCTAGCGCTCCTAGATGGTGTTTAAGAAGGGGATTTAGCGGGAAGATGGTTGTGGAATAGCGAGGGAGCGAAAATATGCGAGGTTGATGGTATTTGGAAGGGGTATGAGGCGAAATCTGCTGTTGGACAGCATATTCTATGTCGGTTGTTGACTTTTCTAGCTGAAAACAGCAAAGACACCCACGAAACAGTGCGATACGGATATCAAGGAGGTTCACCAGCTATAGACATACTACTTGTAAAAGGAAAATGACACGATGCTTCTTAGGGAAAAAATCAGAGATACAATCTCTAAAACGTACAAACAAAATTGAAAGTCTTTCCAAAAAGAAAAATAAACATATAAACAATCTCCTCTACAAAAATAAACCTAGTTAGAAATAATGAAATTAGAAAAAGCTCAAATAGAAAAAGAATCTGGCTGAAATTGGGAATGGGAGGCATCCCATACGGAAATAATCATCCTGTGATCACAGGGGTCTCTAGATTCCGCGATATAGAGAAATCTCACGATGCAGTTTTGCTGAGCTCCCACATTATTCTCCTCGACTACGAGATGCTTCTTGTTCTTCTCTGTGAGAGACTGGATCCCTCTGTTTGATGTTCTTTCTCACAAAACACATGTAGAAATTTCCAAATTAGCTCCTCACAACCCCTATCTGATCCTTCTTTTGGGATGTCATTGCTTAAATGAATTGAAATTTGATATTCAATTTATTCCAAAGTATTTTCCAAAAATCAATACAAAATTTCTCATTTTTATGTTGATGTGTTGACATATTGGACCTCCTTAAGTAGTGCTAACCTAGAAGATAGGTTGTAGGTCAGACAATCTTGAAGTTCACTTAGCTAGGGTTGGCATGTGTATAGTATCAATGCCTTGGACCCACTGTAATCTAGAACAACCAATGCTAATCCTGGTGATGCTTCTCTCACAGGCTCAATCTGAAGGACTCGTTGAATCACCAACATCTCCTTTGTCGGCTGAAGTTGATACTTCTCTCTGACATCATCATTCTCTTTTGTGTCACTGTCATTTCTTAAACTGCTTCCTGCTCAATGGAATAGATCACCTTCTTCTTTGGGCAATCAGACGTAGTCTGCCCAAAATTATGACACTTGAAGCACTTCTTAGTCGGGACAAATTTGAGAGTATATGTTGTCTCCACCTTTTCTCCATTGTGAATTCATTTTTTCTTTGGCGGGGTTGGTTGGGATCTCCACTGGGCACGCTTTTGTTGCCTAATCCTGGGGTTGAACTTTGTTTGTATGGTGTTGTGGTCGCCTGATAATATTGTTGTTTCTTCACCGTTAAAGTTAGGGTTCGCACATTGAGTAGGGACTAATATGGCTGCAACTGCATCACATTATTGATAAATGACCTCAACTCTCCAATTTATCTTACTTTTGCTTGTTCCACTAGTTCCACCAACTCATATTGTAGTATGAATAAGTTAAATTGAACTGTGTGCTCTTACATACAAGATTTTCTCTAGTGCAAATGATGAAATTTTTTGACTATATTCTATCGGTAATGCGGGGGAATGTATTTGAGTTGCATATCTCTTTTCATTTTGGATTATGTGGTGATCTTACTCTTCCCTTCTCGCTATCAATTATATTTCAGTTTCTCCCACCACAAGATATCGTTCTTCTTGGGCTTGATAACCGGTTTTTTTTCTCTTTTGTCCTGAGAAAATTTTTTGTACTAAAGAATTCGTTCCACTATTTAAAGTCATTTAATAAACTTGTCCAAATACATGACGCCGCCAAAATCCGGTAAATCAAAGTTCAACATCCTGACTTTTTTGCTCATATTCAGTGTCAAATCGACACGACATCGGTTGTTTATCAGTTAATGCTTAAGCTTCTTGGTGAGAGGGATTCACTTCCTCCTCTTGATCAGGCTAATCATCGTGTTGACTAGGAGTGACCTTACTATATTATCTTCTCTCAAATGCGACTTGCCTCAGCTGCAGTTGGGAAATTTTTGTTGCATATCTTCCAAAGTTCCTGAACACCTTGCCAAGGGTTTCTCTTTGGCGGTTTGATGTCCTTTTCTTCTTCCGACCAGGCTTTCGACTGATGTAGGATTGCAAATCAAAGATTGGATTTTGAATATTTAAGGTTAGGAGTAGTAATTGCGATAGGAATGATTTGGATGTGGTGAATTTTTTTATTTAAATTTTGGATTGGGGGCTAAGAAGACATAAAAAATCCAAGATTTGTCGGACTCTGATATTAGATGACACCTATTTAGGGATCCTAAAGTTGTAGGAAGTAGATTTAGCAGTAAGGTGGTTGTGGAATAAAGAGAACAAAAATATGTGAGGTCGATGGTATTGGGAAGGTGTATGAGGTGAAATATGTTATTAGACAACTGATTTGACATCTATCTTCGACTTTTCTGGCTGAAAACAACAGGGTGGCTGAAAACAACAGGCACCCATGAAAAGGTTCACCATCTATTCCCGCATAAGATACAAACACCACTAGCAAAAGGAAAATTTTACAACTATCCTTATGGTAGAAATCAGATATACAATCTTTAACACATAAAAAAAATTAAAAGTGTCTCCAAAGAGAAAAATAAACATATAAATAGTCTCCCTTGGAAAAATAAACCTAATCAGAAATAATTAAATAGGAGAAAGCTCAAAAAGGAAAAGAATCTGGCTAAAATTGGGAATGGGATGCTTCTCGAATGAAAATCATCATCCTAGATTGCTGGAGTCTCCCGATTCCACGATACAACGACATTTAGTGATTGCGGATTCACGGGTCCCTTCTCGCGATTTTTTTGAGCCCCCACATCACTGTCAGACATAGAAATGACCAGACTACTCAACCAAAAGTTGGTGTTGGTTGCCCTGAAATGATGTTAGTTCATTAAGCAGCAGCCTTTCAAAGTTTCTCCGAACTTAGGATTATATTCGATGGAAGTAATCAAAAGTTTGTTGTAGTGAGAACTTGTACGAGCCAAACAAATCTATATATAGGTTCTCCATAATGCTCCTATATCGGGTTCTTTTCTTGGTTCAGAGTGAGATTTTGTCTCAAGTTCCTTATATTTGATCCGTGGAATTTAAGCATATGCTACTGAAACATCTTCAATTAGGGAGGAGCTTAGAGATTTAAATTTCTTATCAATACATATAAAAAGAGAATAGTGTCAAAATAATCATCTGATTTTTTATAGGGGGTCATTTTAATCTCAAAATTTATAGAAGTGTCAATTTAATACTATACTCTTCTAATATGCCTGAAATAGTTTCACAAAGGACTGTTGCAACACATTTAAAGAGTATGGGACCAATTTGTCACTGTTATAGGCTCGTTGGACTAAAATGGCCCCGTGTAAACAGTTAAGGGACTATTTTGACCCTTTACTCCTTAAGAAAATAACTGAGCTGTTTGAAGATTGGCCCTTATTGTCAAATGTGTCCATCTACTTTTGTTTGAACGGAACCAAGTTGACCTAAATGGAAACTAACAGCTATTCCTTTTTCTATGGATAGATATTCACTCTGTCCGCTATAACATTTCAAAGGATGTCATTTGTTATCGCAGAGTGCATGGCTGTTTTAAAACCTGGTGGTCTGCTTCTGTTCAGAGATTATGGTATGTTTTTTATTGTAGTTCAGGAACAGATCTTGAATTCAAAATTCTTTTCCAGTTTGTTTTCTTTATGTACATATTGTTTTACTTTGATTCTATTTTCATTTAGGGCTTTATGACATGACAATGCTTCGATTTCCACCAGAACAAAGAGTGGGTTTTAGGGAGTACATGCGGTCAGATGGCACACTTTCTTATTTCTTTTCTCTGGATATTGTGAGAAAGCTTTTTCTTGGCGCTGGATTTATCGAGGTAGCATATTTATGCATTATTAAGCACATAATTTATGAATTTTTGTGTTCAACCTAATCTTTTGGGCTTTTTGTTTCATAAGGTTGTGTCGAGTGCTTGATTTTGGCATGAAAGATATATCATCATATTATAACACGATTGTATCATGCATTCATATTGCATTGATTGCAGAAAGAAGGAATCAACACATTTAAGAAAGTTGACAATGGAGGGAACTTGGAGGGCCATGAAAGTTGTTTGAACAAATTGAAACAATTCGTTGTGAGAGATTTTGTGGAAACCGATTCGAGAGATCCGAAGCAAAATGTTGAACAGAAGCATGCAAAACTTAAAAACACAAATAAAACCAAGATTTAATGTGGAAAAATCCAAGAATGGAAAAACTAACAGAGTCACATCACACCAAGAAATCTACTATGAAAAATGAGGAGAATTGTACAAATCATGGTTTAAATAAACACTCGAGGCATTGGCCTCCAGGTGCACTTTGATTCGAGTAGCTGCTTCAGTGACTCAGGGCATGAAACTTGCTGGTGAGGGTGAAACTCACGCCTTCAGGCGGTAGTGCCTCGAGGTTGTTAAGGCGTCGCTCGAATTAAAATTAGGTATTAAATACCTTGAGTCTTCAGGTGGATTTAGGGTTGGACTTCGTTCCGAGAGCTTTTTATCTTCTTCCACTTCCTTCGACAATCATCATGACTCGTGAGTGTGAACGTCAAAGTCCTTCCCGAGCTTTTGAGTGTAGTTCAGGCTTCTGCATTGATGTCCATTTACGAAGTCCAACGTCGAACTCCAGCTGAGCGGCATAATCTAAAGGCTTCCTTGTCACTTCTGTGATTTTGATCTTTCGTTGATTTCCCCGAGTTATTGTAAGCCATGTGTTTTTTTTTCCTCATGTGACTGAGCTTTCCATTTTAATATTTTTTGGGTATTTACGTACATAACAATTGAGACATTATTATTTAGTTATTTTTGGGCAATTTGATTTGCTGAAAATAAAATGCAATGTAAATTGTTTGCAAAATACTATGACTGTAATGTTTTTGAAATACTTTTGAGTTGTTTGGTTCACTGTAAAATAAATGTAGGATATTTTTTTATTGTTTGGTTTGAAGTAGATTAAAAATAAAAAGTATTTCAAAACATATTTTTTTATATGATGGTGTGGGAGAGGGGTGGGAGGGAGGCGACAATAGTGGACTGATGGGCGGACGACCAATAGCTGAGGTGGTGGTGTGGGAGGAGGTGACGGTAGGCTGTTGATGGCAGCGACTTGTGGCAGACAAAGACAACTAGATTAGGAGGTGACAGGAGGGCGAACTGCGGAAGCGGGCAAGCGGGTGGTGATGTTGGGAGGTGGTGGCAAGCAGTAATGGCAGGCCGCTTGCGGTGGTAACTGCATAGCAGTAGCGGCCAAATGCGGTAGCGGTAGGTAGGCAGCTGCTGCGGTGGGCGGCAGTGGCTTTAGGCGTCGGCGAGCTACAAATTTCAACTGTGGAGGAAGGCTGACGGAGGTGGCGGGCAGCTGGCGACACCGATGGTGGGAAGCGGCTGCAGCAGGCAACAGTGGACAGAGACTACAGGCAATGGTGGGCAATGGCTACAAGCGACGGTGGGTGGCGGTTGCCGTCTGGCGACGTTGGAGGCAGGCGGACAACTGCGACAGCAAGCGATCGGGCTACCGGTGGGGGACTTCGACGGCGACGGGCAAAGACGGGCATCTATGACAGCAAGTAGCGGCGACTGCGGACAGCAACGACAACAGGTAGCGGCGGGCGGCAACCTCGGGCAGAGAGGACCTGCGATGGTAGACAACGGGCGGTCTTTGGCGGGCGACGGTGTGTGGCAACGACTTGCCTATAGCATTTAACATAAAGGATGATAGCTAAATTCTAAATTCAGCGCCTGTTGTCGCGGGCGGCGGCGGGTGACAACGACTTACCTATAGCATTTTACATAAATGATGTAATTCAAATTCGGCCAAATCGGCCGAATTCTAAATTTAGCAAAATGAATTATGTTGTAAACTTCAAATTCATTCAAATTTTACTTTATATTTGTAACTTTTCATATCAAACACATAATTTTCTCAAATCCCTCCAAAATAATTACAGTACACCGCTAATTCACTCAACCAAACAGCCCTAGTACATAGCATTTACTTACATAGTAATCGAAACATTGCTATTTACAAAGTAAACACCTTATTTTCATCCATTTTTCTAGTTCTAACGCAAAATTAAAGTTTGTATGCAAGATTATGATTTTGTCAAGTTTGAACCTTGATGCATTTTTTTTTTGGATGTTGTGAATCAAATTTTTCTCAGAGTTCGGGTAATTTCAGATTTTAACAAATTTTAATTATCATATACATTTTGAAGTTATTAAAGTGTATGTTTTGAAGGCAAGGTTATGTTTTTCAATTTTATCAAATTCTCATGATTTGATGAATTTTATCCTTTTATTTCTTGAATCATTTTGATTTGCATTTTTGCATTAAAATGACTTACATGTTTAATCAGTAATGTGAAAGTTAGAAGGCAATGTTATCTTTACATTTTCAATTTAAATGATTGTGTTGCATTAATTTACGTTGCTTTTAGTATGAACAATCTTCTTGATTTAAATTATTGCTTTGTTTGGATAAACATTTGCACAAGAAAAAAGATTCACTTTAAAAAATGGAACTTATGTTAAAGTGTCGTGCAAAGAAGGGATACGTTTACTTAAAATATAAATTTTATGACAAGCGAATTATTGGTTGTGTTAAAAGACTTAGAGATCACTTGGCTTGCACACATATAAATGTTGGAGCATGTGAGAGTGCTAGATGAAGTAGTATGCCTGGAATTTTTAAAAAATATTCCACTTCAAAAGAAATAATGCAAAAAAATATGGAAGAGATGATTGAGAATAATTAATATTTTGGCTCACAATATAATGGTTCCGATAGTGGAAGTCATTTGTCTTCTTTTGATAGAGGATCTCGAAGACCAAATGGATAGATTTGTTGTAAATATGATTCTCAAACAGTTCCTCTAGCTTTTACAAAAGAACATAGATTTAAAGTATGCTTAGATATTGCAAGATGTTTTTATGAGAATGAAATTTTATTTTAATATTATTAGGGGTCCTTCATGGATCAATATGCTTTGTTCTATTGGGCATTGCGTGCGAGGGCTACATCTTTCTAGCATGTATGAGGTGCGAACTTGAATGTTGGATGAGGAGATTAGAACTACGACAAGAATGATAGATGAAGTGAAAAAGACCTGGGTTGAGACAGGTGTTACTATAATGTCAGATGGTTGGTCTAAATATCAGACAAATAAGTATTATAAATTTTCTTATTAATAAATTTTATGGGATGATATTTTTTAAATCAGTTGATGCATCAAACTTTGTAAAAGATGAACTATTGTTATTTAATATGCTTGATGAGGTTTTTGAAGTTGGGGAGACTATAGTTATTCAAGTTGTTACATATAATACAAGTGTCTATAAGGCTGCTGGAAGGATGTCAATGGAAAAAAGAAAACATCTTTACTGAACTCCTTGTGCCGCTTATTTTTTTGATGTAATGCTTGAAAAATTGGGACAATTGTAGCAGCATAAAATTGTTTTCTTAAAGCAAAGACAATGAGTAAATTCACAGATAAAGAACTTATTTGAAGAGCAATTGCAAGATTTGCCACGACCTATTTTACTTTGCATAGATTTAAAGAGCTGCGACAACCTTTGAAGGCTATGTTTGCTTCTAAAGAATTGGATAAAACTACTTAGGCAAAAAATCAGAAGACAAGCAAGTGAAGACAATTATAATGAGAGATGATTCATTTTGGTGCAGTGTTAGTTATGCTCTGTAGACTTCAACGCTTTTTTGTGAAAGTATTACGAATGACTGATGTTGAGAGGACTCTTGCCATTGGATTTATTTATAAAGCTATTAACAAAGCATATGGGGAAATAACAAAAGATTTAGGAGGACGAGGATAAGAAACAACTTACAAAAAAAATATATTGAATATCATTGATGATAAATGAGATCATCAGCTCCATCAATATTTATATGTTGTTGTATATTATTTGAATTCTCAATTTCATTATGACAGTTTTTTATATGAATTAAGAAGGTAAGAACTGTTTATATGCATGCATGAATAGAGTTGTCCTTGTGCCCAACTATTTTAAAGTCAACGATCAATTTGAAGATTTTCATATGAGGAATGAAATGTTTGGATTTAGAGTAGCTCAAGCTTGCTACAACACACTCACCTGATAAATTTCATTTATCTATAATTTAAATCTATGACTCTATCATTTACTAATAAAATTATATCTTAATAAGTTAATATATATTGTTACTTTTGTTTAATCTTATGCTAGAACATTTGCGGTCACAATTCAGAGCATCTGTTGGAAAAGTTCTTAGTCTTACTTGTTCAACGTCTACATATGAGCGTAATTGGAGCATATTCAACCAACTGCATACAAAGAGAAGAAATCAATTGACTATAGGTCGAATGAACAAGTTAGTTTATGTTATGTTCAATAAAAAAAAGAAAGATAGACACTTAAGGCTTCAAAAACATAGAAATGTTGGTGATGAAATATATCCTTTGACTGCTGATGATGTTATATATGATGAATGAATAACACCTAAGGATGCTAAAGGATTTGAAGTTTTAGCTAAAGAAATGACTTTTAATGATGATAATGAAGATATCAATGTTAACATTGAAAGGGGTCGAAGAGATATTGAATTTGAAGCAACTTCTACTTCACAGACATTTAAAAGAAAGAAGCAAAATGGGGTTGGAGCTTCAAAAAATTTTGAAGGTAATGCCATAATTAAAGCATAATTGATTGTTAAGTTGTGTTACTAATTATATTGAATTCATTGTTAATTTGTGTAGGGATTGAAGTGAAAGATGTGGTAATTGAAGAAGAATTTGAAGATGATGCCAACACAAAATTCGAGGATTATAGAGCTATTACAT